TTCAGCTCGACTGAAATGGAGACAGTAACTTGATTACAAAATTGTTCCTTTACCTCAATCTTTACTGTCTTAAAACTCAATTTGAGATGATTATATCCAATTAGATTTGCTATCAGTGTTATCAACTTCCAATTTCTGAGTCAAAGATTATGTCGACAGCATGAAATGAACCAGACACGTCTCTTGCAGACAAACAATACACAAGTCCATGCAAACTATAAGTCCTCTCAAACAGCGTCAAGCTCCAGCTTTTACAATGGAGTGGCTGGCCCTTGGTCTGTTCATCAGCAATCTAAGTGTAGTCTAGAGATTCAAGCTTAAGATCAGACTTCACCCAAGATTTGCAAGCGTACAACTACTACTGGTACAGGTTATGGAAGATAATAATAGAAGTTGATTGTAGTTCTCCTAAACATTAGATCAACCTTTTGGTTATGTTATATTCAAATCTTTACACCACTTCAATCAAAAGATTAAAAGAACTCATTTTGAAAGATGCTTCCCTCCAAGTCACCTAATTTCAACCTTGGGAGATGAAGTAAATCATAAAATTAAGGCGCCAATACATTATTCGTTATTTGAACGTTCTTGGTGCCTTGGGTCGTTTGGAATTTGTTAATTTGACTCACTTGTACACAGAACAGTCAACACCAGCCAAATCTTGCCTCTATATTAGACCACAACCAAAAATAATGCAAATCAATATTGATTTTGGAAATCAGGAGTGACACCGCACACATTTAGGGCATTCCTCATCCTTACTTAGACTATAATAAGTTGGAATGTAAATTCAGCCAAGCGGGCGCGGGGAATCCGCGTTTACGAGAGTTTTAGCGTAGAAAAATGGTTCTGATGAGGCTCTGAATCAAGAACTTTTGGCAGAGTTTGATTTGATTTTGAAAAATAAACCAAGCAAGACCGAAGTAGTAGCCGTTGCTCGCACTAGGATTTTATTCAAGTGGAGATAGCAATTCCTATCGAGTCAAGAAAGAATGAGTAATGACTAAGAGTTATGGAATTGGGCATTGGTCCTCCTAAGAGCTCACATCGACAGGAAAGTTTGGCAAGTCGCACTGATTCTTGCCGGACCTTCCAGATTCTAATTGCTTATTGAGATCAAGATCTTGTTCCATTAGACCCAAACCCAGTTCGGTCAAATCAGTTCCATAATATAGCTTATCCGGACCGGGCTTTCAATGTTTAGTCGGGCCAGCCATAATGAATGACTGTTGTTCAGAAACAAATTAATAAGACTTGAGGGTTTTGCTATCACTCTTTGCCTAAAGCCGTAACTTCGCTCTTTCACAATTGCAAGACTGTAGCAATCGAAGAGCTATCGCTCAACTGCTTTGCGTATTACGAAAGTCATATTGCTCGAAGGGGGCATGCTGCAAGCAATACCAAAAATAAACTTGGATGCAATCTATACTTAGATTTTGTTAATTAAAGGAAAAAGGAGCATGGACCAAAGGAGGTAAAAGGAAAAAGAGAAGAAAGAACATGAGGAAAAAGCTCGAAGCTCTTTGAATGCATTATTTTTCATTCATCCATCTCTTATAATCAAAATGCTCAAAGCTATGTTGACGCATTACTTTAATTTCATCCTTCTCTGGATATCAAGTTCTCCACATATATTCTTTCCCCATCTTGTCTCCACGTGATGGTTCACGCTCATGATCAACATCCAAACCAAACACGGTGTGATGGAAAGACTCAACCCAACCCCACATACTAGGACTAATCCACTCAGGTGAAGTTCGTGCACATGATTATAGCAAGATTTCATACTCTACGGTTGAAAACTAAACTTCAGTTAGTCCAGGCCCACAGGTGACAAGGAGATCATATGCATAAAGATGAAAGTAATATAGCCCTTATTTAAAGAAAAATATGATCTAATTTTGTAGCTATCAACATATTTTCTTACTTTCTTGTTGCTGAAAAAAGAACGGGGAAAGTGACACTAGATGTTTTAGATAATATAAATAGTGAATAAGACTTGCCTCTTTCAGATCAACCCATTCCCAGGTTTCATTTGGCGTATTTCCATCATAAACCAGCGCATGTCGGCCCTGAAAGTTTTTAAAAAAATTGAAAGGATGCATGTAAAATCTGTGGAATTCCATTAACATGTCAATATATAATAGAACCCCAATATTCTCTATGCGAAACAACGAATCTATGATTCACTTCTAAAAGTAAAAGTTAGAATTTACAAGTTAATAGAAATGATGTGATTCAAGAATGCAATGTGTTATATAATAAATGAAGATTGAAAATCACAAGAAAGAAACATGATACAATTTTTGGTTGCAAGCAATATCAGATAAAACATGGTTACAAATTCAAATAATTAACCACAAAATGGCCATGTAGAACACATTTCACGAGTGAAAATTCAGAACGGGCAAACAGCATTCCTAGAACTACTCTCTATTGTAAGCTGCATACCTGTCCATTCCTTAACTAAATCTCGATACCAGGATGCCTCTAATAATAACCTTGCCCAAAGACAAGCATTTAGGTGAGCCTCAAAAACTATTATTCAAAAACTTTAACATACCTCTACTGGGTTGTAATCAATGATGACAGCCTCATAGAAATTCTTGTCCTCGGGCCATCTTGTCATCACCTTCCTTCCAATTAATGGATCACCTGCTGTTCCAGTAGGTTCATTTGGCAAAAGAGCACCAGAATAACCATGATTGGCAAGCTGACCCCTTGGACCTGTAGAAGGGTACTGCATAGATTTCGTTGAGGATAAACCAGGCATGGGCTGATGTTAAACCGAAGACACTCAAACAGAGGTCTATATAGGATTCTCAGTTCTACTCAACCACAGAAATTTACTTACAGGTCTAGACTTTTTGCCTCCAGCTCCTGAAGCAGGTCCCCATTTTGCAGCTGTGGATGATGGCTGTGTGGTTCCAGCAACCATTTGAGGGTGTAACAACTGTGAGGGCGTTCCAAATGGTAGAGGTATTGATTGGGATGTTTTCTGCCTCTTGCGAGACCCTGAAACTGATGGACTGGGTACTAGGTCATGAACAGGGTGGAGCATGTTGAGCATGGTATTGTGGTTCCCACCGGCCTTTCTCCACTCCCTGATCCTAACGATGAGATCATCAGCATTAACCCTGTTGAGTAGATCCCTGTGCTCATCATCTGACACTCTGAGCTCTTTCCTAAGTTCTGTTATTAAACCTTCTTTCTCCTGAAGAACATTTATACCCGTATAGGATTAGGTAGGCAGAAAAATGAAGAAACCCAAGGTAAGTGAAAATCTAAATACCCATGTTAGTGCATCAGACTGTGCTTTAAAAGCTCTTAGGATAGCACCATATGCTTCTTGCTCAATTTTGTGAATTTGGAGCTCCATGTCACCATGCATCCTACTGTGTGGAGCTGAATTTACAACAGATCTTCCATTTCCTGTAACACGGTCCCCTCGTGAAACTGTATTATAATGTGATGGAGGAAGATCATCATCAGTACCTGCATTTATTTCAAACATGAATAACCTCACTGGATACAATAACATGAAGTTCCTTACCAACTGCCTCATCTTAACTCAAGCCTTAACCCCACGAGTTGGGGTTGACTTTGCAAAAATGTGCAAAATGAGCAGCAATCAGGAACTTGAAATGACATCTAAAGTAGAAAGAAAAAAACTTCCACCTTACGGCTAACATGCTTTGGGTTCTGGAATAAAAAGAAGGCATATGCCAACGCTGTCTTCAACAAAAAAAATCTGACGCACAATGAACTCGCACTAGTGGCTTTTTTAGTAGACAACCAGAGGAAAAAAATTTCACACAGTGAGAATATCATTGGTACACCTGATGAGGCAAGACTGCAAAAACTGTTCTATTAAAAAATACATTCCACTTTTAAGTTCCTGATTGTGGCTGCCACTGTCCCACAATTAAATACTGACGGCTCTGCCTTCCTACTCAAGGCATCCACGATGTAGTTAGTCTGTCTGCAAACAATTAGTTAGTTTATCATAATCTAAGTAAAAATAATAAAAATAGAGTTCCCTTCGGTACCATAAGATCTAATTGATGAAAGGTTGGAATCTTTGGACAACCAATGAAGGACGGTCACTATAAAGTTTACAAGTTGTCTTTACATGTAACTGAAGATAAAGAGGAAAATTTCACAATGCTTGGAAAACAGATTGATCATTTCTGACATTCTGCCATTGTCCTGGGTCCTTGACTTTCTTTACATAGATGCCTTGGGAAATAGAAGCAACCAAATACCAGACATTTGTCCGCAGGGGTTAGAATCTAAGAGAAATTCAAGAGAGTATCTGCTATCATGAAACTTTTGTCTGAAAATGAAAAGGCAAAAAATAAGAAAAAAAAGTGGGTCAAATGAAACTGCCATTATGGTGTTTTAAGAACTATTTGGTTGTGTAGGTGGCAGCAAAGCACCTATATCAAATGCCCATTAAAAAACTTTATAAACATTTAATTAAGACAAATAATCAAACATACCTACTGAAGTACTGATTTTTTGGGGTAAACAGATGATACATTCCTCAAATTTCTCAACCCTAACTCCAGACCTCGAATAAATTTCTATCTAACCAGCATAATGAACAAACTATAAACCCAAAATGCAGACTCCAGCAAAAAGTAAAGGCACCTTTTTTCTTTCTAAATGAACCAATACGGTACTACCCAACGCACCTTATGATACACAGACCCTGGTTGATCCAAATTACTTCTGGTCCCAACTCTGATATAGTAAATAAAGAAAAACAAGAACAATTCTAGGAAATCCACAATCTATAGACTCAATCTTCGCAGTAGTTCATTTTCACATTATTCAAGCCCTAAACCTAGAAACAAACACATAAGAGCCCTTGCGAAGAATCACCAAGAATTACACCGCACTATACACAATGCATTGCGTATCTACAAAGAAATAGCTTTGGGTTTAGGATGATTGAGAACTCACCGCTGCTGTCGATTACTCGATAGTCCATACACAAATTGTGCCGCCCCAACCAGATTTTCTGTGTAAAATGGAAACCCTAGAAAACAGAGAAGACTGTGTAGAGAACGGTTCGAATGCAAATAAGTCTCGTCAAGATTGCTTCGCTTTAATATATATAGAGAGAGAGATTTCGAAGCGTCAACGTTTGTTGGAGGGAGACAGAGAAGGCGTGTGTATATATAGACCCTTGAGGAGAAGAGAGAGAGATTTGGAAGGTACAGTATATAGAAAATCTTGGTACACCATTTTCAAGAGTAAACTACATAAATAACCCCTAAATTATCCCAACTGTGTCAATTTAGCCCTCAAATGCATTAACAAAGAATTAGACAGTTTTTTTTTTTCTTTTGGTACATTGGAAAATAAAACACTAAACACGAATGTTCCCTAATAAAAGAAACACTAGCTATATCAACGTTAAGTGTCATCCTCGTCTCCTTTGAAGGACAACTCCAGAGAACAAATTTGTCATCCTAAAGAATCCCAATGTTAGTGTGGACGTCTATGATATTTCTGCTTTAAGTAGAAATGTTGTAGTTGTCTTTCAATCAAAACATAGCATATGTCTCGCTGTGTCCTATTCGGGTTGGTAACATCTCATTAGAATTTTACCTAGTGTTAGATTGTATAATTGAGGGATTAAATTAAAATAAAAATTAATTTAAAATTTTAATTAACACAAATAACATAATTTAGGGGTCATATGTGTAATTAATTTTTTTTTTCAATTTAAGTTTAGCCCGCCCAATGCCTTTACAGAATAATATTAATTCACTTTCTAGTTCGATTAAAAAAAGTTATTTAAGTTGAAAATAAAAAAAATTCCCCTTGGTTGGCTAAAAGACATACAATCTACGATTAGAAAAATTTATGAGAGATAAATTTTTTATGATTTAATCCAAAAAAATTATAATATTTCAAACTTATGAGTTTTGGATTTATAATTCTTCTCTATCTTCACTAAATTGCCATTGAAATTACATTTGTGGTGAATTTGGGCCGATATTCATGCTCTTAGTTTCGGCCCAAATTCTAGGTACCCAGGAGGCAAGTAACAATTTCAGTCATGGGCCTACTTGGTGCTTCGAAAATTCATAAACTTGCGACTAACCCAAGCATATAATGGCCCACTTCGTATCCATGTCCAAGATTTTAATATCGGTAACCTTTTCGGCCGTACTTGGTAATAATTTTTGCCAAGATACATAAAAAAAAAAAAAAACTTTGGTATTATTGCTTTTTTCTTTTTTAAGTAATGCTATTGAAATTTAATTTATTGACTTAATTTGCTGACTTAATTCATTATGACATTTGGATTGAATGTGAGACCCATCAAATATTAAAATTTATTATTGATCAAATGATTCCACTAAAACCACATCATTAGGTCAATAAATTAGGTCCAAATAATATTACTCTTTTTTTAAGCTTGTCCTTGATATTATCTCGTATACTGGGTGGGATATGATGATAATCAATGATACATATCAAATACATATTATATGTATTCAATAATAAATAAAACATATGTTGAAAAAAATGGAATGCAAGAGGTAAAGTGTGAGACAGAGTGAGGTGTAGACTATATCGCTTTCTTAAGATGATTCACACCTTTTTATAAAAGAAACACAGTGCATAAGGTAAAAACTTCAACGTGAATAATTTATAAAAGCTTCAACGTGAATAATTTTTATATATAAAATATTAATAAAAAGTATTAAGTATATGTGTATTTACATTAAATATCATTTTAAGTTTATCAAAATTATATTTTTATTGCTCATATTATATTATAGAATTTGAAAATATTGTTTGTTGCCAACAATTTATTGTTTTTAGTATTAAAGAAAAAGATAAAAATAATTTATTTGAAATTCATTTGATTATATTTCAACTTATAATTCATTGAATAAAATAAAAATAATTTTTAATATTCTAATTAATGCTTAATATAATTAGGTAGGTTAATAGAGATAAAATATAGGATTAATAACACTTTGGTTATCTAAAATTTGCGATTTTTGTCGGTTTAGTCTTCAATATATAAATTTTATCAATTTAGTCCATAAAATATTTAATTCTTGTTTAAATGGTCTATAACCAGATGATCAATTAAGTTTTTTGACGAAAATAATCACATGTTATTCCATCAATTAGTTTCACATGATCACTTCTATAAAAAACTTAACAGATTATCTGTATATGGATCATTTAAATATTAACTAAATATTTTAAGGACCAAATTGACAAAATTGATACAATAAAGCCCATACTAACAAAATATGCATATTTTAGGGACTAAAAGTATTATTCACCTTAAAATATAATATACTACTCTATAATATATATTTTAAAAGAATATTAAAATTTTAAAATTCAAGTTTTGTTTAAAAATACAATATAATTTTTTTTATATAAACTCTTAATAAAATATGAAAAGTTTACTATAATTGAAGAATTATGTTGATTTAATATAAATTATTTTAAAAAAAACTACATAAAAGATTATTTTTTATCTTAAAAAGTAAATGGTTGAAATTTTGGACGAAAGAAATACACATATGTAAGGATAATGTTATCTTTATATTTAAAATGAGTAATATTAAATTGATAAAGTTTTTTAAAAAAAAATTGAATGTTTTATTAAAAATTATAGTGATGCATACATGTTTTAAATGTAACGTAGTCAATTAAAAAGTTTTATAGATACTGATATTTATATATAGTAAATAAAGAATTAAATGAGATATTATGAGTAATTTGAAGATTTAAACATATAAGTATATGATGACAATTTAGAAATTCAAATATTGAAGGATTGTGTGGTGTTTAAAATATTTTATAAGAGTAAAATAGTGAATTAAAATTTTCTCATACTAAGACAAAAGTTTCATTCTTTATTAGTAGTATGGATGAAAAAAAAATACATGTATATTGTCATAATGTTATCTATATAATTGTAAAAAGTATGATTTATTGATGAAGTTTTTGAACACTTTATTGAAAACTATGATGATGCACATATTTTTTTAAGAGTAATGTAGTCAATTAATTTTTTTTATAGATATTGATATTTATACATAGATAATATAGAAGTAAAAGAAATGTTTAGGATAAATTGGAGATATAAATACATAAGGACGTGATTATAATTTAAATATTTAACTATGAAAAGATAACGTGGTAATTAAAATTTTTTTATAAGGATAAAATAGAAAATCAAAAATTTTTCACTTAAGGTACTTTTATTATAGATTATAGATATACATACACACACTTAAATATTTTAAAAAATTTAACAAATTAAGTCAATAAATTAGATCCTAATAACATTGCTAAAATAAAAAAACATATAATTTTAACCACACATTATTGTTTATAATGTATTATTTGCTATTACATGTTGAGAGATTATAAAGTGAGTTAAAATACACTGCATCTCTTGTATACAAACATTTCTAAACAAATCAATTAGTTAAACATTAGTTGTGAATTACTTATGTTCACTTTGTGATATGTCATAATCAGACTGATGGATCCATCAGTAACTTGGTTTGGTGTGCAGGAGGATCGTAAATGGAGAGCTCTGTCTTCGGCCATCGGTCCTTAGACTTTTGCAGCTATAAGTCTCTAGTCCTGTCAAGGGAATATTAAGAGGGGTTCAGCTCGTCTGTTGTTCATCAAAGAGCAGCACACAATGTTGTTCTATTAAACGATGTCGTCCCATTAAAAAAGTCATAGTTCACCATAAAAGCCCGTACAGTAAAAAAAAATTTCAAATTTTTATTATCCGTCAAATCTTTCAACACAGTAAACTATTTAGCACCTCTGCACACACAGACAAAGACATCCTCTCTACACACACATATACAATTGGTTTCAATTTTCTACACAAACGGACAACAAAGTTCGGTCTGTCAGTTCTCCACACACTGAATTCTTTATAGGTTTGTCATTTTCTCAATTTCTTATTTTGCTATCCTAGGGCTCAATACAAACGGACAACAAGGTTCGGTCTGTTAGTTCCCCACACACTGAATTCTTTATAGGTTTGTCATTTTCTCAATTTCTTATTTTGCTATCCTAGGGCTCAATTGCAGACTTCCAACAACCAAAACCTCATCAGCACAAAAAAATTAACTATAACTTACAAAAATAAAAAGCTCTCTTTGAACTCATGGGATCAAGTTGGTGGCCGCAAGCTTCCACTCTTTGTTGTTATGATTGTTGGCTTGTGTCCATGTCGGGTTGTAGAATTTTGCTATATCCATATTTTTTTGTTTGATGTGGTTGTTGGGGGTGTGCTTGAGTGTTGTTGAAGTATTTTTTTGGGTACATAATTTTTCATTCTCTAAATTTAAATTTGGTTTTTCATGGTGATGAACTATGAGTAGCTCTCACAAGTTGTGAATTTTTTTTTCAGTCTGTTCTTTGCACATGGAATCTGACTTTCTTAAAGGATTTCTATAATATTTAATTTTGTTAGGTTTTGAATTTTCAATAATTTCTTATATCATTGTCAATTTGTTTGTTGACCCTTAATGTTTTGTAGTGATGCAGAATGACTTCGTCAAGTTTGGAAGCAAGTGGAGAAGTGATAATCAACTCTCCTAGTTGACTCACAATGGCCTAAGCAATTAAGGATTGATGGAATTCATAGTCCACTCCAACGTATTGAGACAAATGAAGAAGCGATAAATTTGTCGCTATTACTTATTTTGGTTATTGTTCTAATGCTAAAATGATGTAACTAGATCAAGTGTTGTATGTAATGTAATGATTCATTTTCATTTATGGAAATGGTCTTTTAAACATTCTTTGTGGGTTTGATGGTGTAGCATGTGTATTTTAGTGAAGGTGGTAGTGGAGAAAAATAGTATAACATGTGTTTCTTCAAAGTGGATTTGGTGGTTGGCTTTACTTATGATTTTTCTGCTATTGCTTTGCCTACTAAGGTGAGCAGTGCTCTAGTGCAGGATTAGATTGGTC